GGAGGTTTTAGCAGATTTGAATAATTCAATTGACTCAATTCTGGAAAATTCGTGGCCTCGGTGGGATTCGAAGCCACATCAGCAGGGAAGGCTTTAGTACAGTCAACGCTTTATTAAGTGTGATTAGATTCACGGCGCTCGGCGTGCCTTTTTAACTCAATTGGTAGATTGTTGGCTGTACTAAAGCCTTCCCTGCTGATGCGGGTTCGAATCCCACCGAGACCACGAACTTCTCACAATTGAGTCACTTGAATTATTCAAATCTGCCAAACCCCTCCTAATAATTAAGCGTACCTAGTAATCATTCTGGTTGATTCTAGATGTTACCTTAGGAAATCCTGCCTAGGCAGTAAGCCACCTGTATCTGTAGTGGTGAATTCCTTACGTGGAGTAGGTTGAACGGGAAAATCAACCTAACCATAATTAAGTTCCCGGCCGTCGACGTGCCTTCGCAGCTCAATTGGTAGAGCGTCGGCTGTACTACAGCCTTCCCTGCTGATGTGGGTTCACATACTGCAGAGGCCACGGATTTTTCACATGTGGGTCATCATCATCATCATCATCATCATCATCATCATCATCATCATCATCATCATCATCATCACCATCATCAACATCATCATCATCATCATCATCATCATCATCATCATCATCGGTCCTTCCTACCTTTTCCTTCTCGCATGCATCAGTGAACTGTCTGACCTAGTACATCATCATCATCATCATATTATTATTATTATTATTATTATTATTATTATTATGTCCTCCTCATCATCATCATCATCATCATCATCATACTCATCATCATTATCATCACCACCACCACCATCATCATCATCATCATCAAAGTCACTAGCCATTTACGGTAGAGTAACAAAAGTTTGAATCCTCTGCCTCGTACCTACTGTTTAAAGAATCCTTGAGCTTTTGTTACTCTATCCTCCCATTTATTATTGAAAAGTCGTATTGGCAAACAGTTGTTTTCGGTCATTCATCATCAGGCC